AATTTATGGAATGAACATCACGCTGTATTGAAGGAGACTTTGAATTAGAGACATTTTTACAATGTTTACTGAGGCAATAAATCAAGTGAGAAGTGAGTCATTTATTTTAATTGACTTGCGTGCATTCAGACTTCATGTTTGCAACCAGAGGTCACCAGAGAGAATGTAAGACGCCTCCTCGGCTTCACTTGTGTGCTTCTCTCCGCCCCGTTTTTCTCTTTTGTTCATGAAATGAGAGTGACGAAGGTGGGCGATGGAGGTGCGGGTAAAATGTTGTGTCGTAGCAGGCATCCATCGCACATCGCCGACAAGCCTCGGAGGCGATGTTGTGCAGTCTGGCACACGTTGATTTGATGGAATCTCATCCAATCAGCTGCAGCGGTTGAAAAAGCCAACGGTTATTTTTCCACAGCGGTCATCCTCCACTCGAAGATGGACGGTGAAGACATGTCTCCTGCAGTCACTGAGGCCTGACTGTAAAATGCACAATTCAGCCAATAATTGGTGATTTCTGTTCTTTTCTTTCTGACTGAATATCTTGACACAAAGATGTCTTTCTTTCTGTAACGAGAACATCTCCCCTCTGACAGAGCGTGAACGACACGCACATAAATACTTCTTCATTCATATTACCGAGAATATCTGAACTGTTTTGACATATATTTCATTTTGTTCAAAGACAAGAACACCGGGGCAGAGAATGGGTCCACGAGGACGCGTTACGTCCCCGTCCCCCGTCCCCCCCGGCTACACTTTGATTGGCATAGCGACAACGAATGATGTCATGGGCTTCGTGAGCAGGACTCACACGTCGCCTGGATCGGGTCACAGTAAACGATCCCTCCCTGCGTCCCGCCCACACCGCCGCCGCCAGAAACCATCGTGAAATTCCCGAGGACCAGTGCTAATACTTCATGTTTCACAGCTGTTTGTGTGCGTGCAACACTTGCAGCTGATGGAAAGAAAAGCCTGCACGGGAAAGATTATTTAGAGAAAAAAAACGAATCAGTCAGCTGTCGTGAGATAAAGATCTATTTGCACCCAGAAGATCCCCCAGAAACGCTGAGAAAACGCACGCATTTCCTCCCATTCACCCCGGCGCAGGCAGCGAGGTCACAGGTCATGTGTGGTGGCGGAAATGCGGCGTTAATGAACAGAACCCATTTCTGCCAAATTAAAATCCATTTGCGTGAGGCTTAAGTGCATCTGGCGGATACATTTCCATAAGCCAGCCGGGGCTTAAGGGGCAGCACTCGAGGCGTTACTGTGCTCGTAATAACTGAATTAGAATTTTATTAAGAGCAGCTAATTTCAAGTGAAGAAAATCACTCCGACAAGTGGCGGCGTTTCTGGGGGCCGCCGAGTGGAGGCGAGTGACACGCCGGCGAAGACGCAGCTCCGAGTTCCTGAAGGTCGCTCGGTGTGCACGTGTTCTTTTTCTTCCTTCATGCCCCATGAAGGATTAATGCATTTTTCCGGCCTGGATGGAACTGAACTAAGTAGGTCATGTTTACAAAGTAAAGCGTGAAGATTTAAACGGACAACGTTTTGAACACACACACACACACACACACACACACACACACAGTTAGAAGAGCAAACTTAAATGCGCGTAATGACATAACACCTGAAGACACAGAGACTTCTCGTCTGGTTTGAATCATGGTTTTATTTTCCTCCCACATTTGCTCCTCGGTTCAACTCTCAGCTACGGTCCTTTGAGCTGTGGTGCGGGGGATCGCTTTCCTCCTCTCGGGGTCTGCAGCGAGCGCGTTCTGAATAAACCCAGTGGTGAATGGGTTTGTTTTTCCTGCAGCTGCGTTTAATTTAAGGAGAAGGCAATATAATACAAAGCCGTTATGGCAGACAAAGCGGTCAGTTCATCCCTGCCAAAACCCATTTGAAGCTGCAGGGTATAATTGTATTTTGTCACAAACCTTATTTCTCAGCAGGAGCTGCCCCCCCCCCGATGTTCGATGTGCGCTCCAGGATAATTTACTGTTCTTCTCTTAGCTGTCTAGGCTCATGTGGATCGTCTGGTGGTGCAGATCCAGGCAGGTGTCAGCATAATATAAAAGAAGGGGTACCTAATTATCATCCCAACCAACCCGACATTTGAAGATGCAGCAGATGCTTCTGGTGATCTGCTGACCTTTGAGCTGGTACCACTGTTGCACCAAACATTGATCCCATTGATCTAAACGTTGGTCCATCTGAGGTCACTGACCAGGTTTTCATGCATTTTTCTGTTTAAAACGCATGACTGCCAGTGGAACGATGCTCATTGATTTGACCTCAGCCCCTATGTATGACATAATCACGAAGCCCTGCGGGAAATATATACGATGTGTCGATTGATCAACATTGGCTTGCGGTTGCCATGGTTACGGCACGTGTAAACGTCACATTGTACACTAAGGACATAAAAAAAAGAGGAAGGCCTTTTTATTTTACACATATAGGAAGCCTCTCACACAGCGGGAGCAGGGTGCTGCCGTCGAGGCGCCCGGGGAGCAGTTAGGGGTCAGATGTCTTGCTCAGGGACACTGAGGACACGGGACATGGAGCGGCCGGGGTTTCGAACCACCGACCCTGCGGTTCCCGGTGCACCAATCATCAAAAAATGATTTTAAAAAAGGAGGAAGTGAAAGGAGGCTCATGTATAGACTTACTTATAAAGTTGTTCCATATTTTAAATGAAATGTTAAATAATATGCATTTACTGCAGTGCAATAGTGATAAACAAACAGGATTACCTTCTTTATGCCGTCATCACACTTGTCTGTGGTAATGCGCGTTGCTGAAAGCATTATCATCCATATTTCATGCGTTCCTCTGCTCCTCCTTCCATGTAAAATCTGTCAGTTACCTGAAGAATGGAAGCGCATTCTTCTTTTCCTTTTGCTTTTTTGGCAGATCGGCCTCTGAAGATTTCATTGCTCCTAAAAGTATGTTTCTCCATTTCACACTCATGTAAAATACCTTTTTTTGAAGACTATACTATAAGTACTAGTTGTATGTTGAAACATACACCCCCCCCCGGAGTCTGCACTGTGTACCACCAAAATAAAAGCGTGAGACAAAAAACCACATGGCACCGGTGGTATTTTAAGATGAGGGACTCCACGATGACGACGTCGACTTTTACCACAAAAATCTTCGAGTCATGCACTCAAATCAATGCTGAAACATGCTTCTTCCTTCCCTTTCTGCAGTCTTACATGTGTCTGTAAATCTCTGCACACTTTGCAAATACATTTGAGCAGTGGACATTGTGTCAAATCCATCTGCACTTCAACCCCCCCGCCTGCAGCGGGAGCATCATTTCGATCTGACGATAAGCGGCACAGAGGATGACTGACTTCGGGCCCTTGCGCTGTGAAACAACCAGGCGACGTTCTTTCTGAAGCTGAAGAGCGGTTTGGCTCGTGCACTCGTTTGGACGTGAGCCCGCTGCAGGCAGCCAGGCGACAGAACACACAGCACGCCGCGTAAATCCGCTCAAAGGCGCAGGTGACAGCAGCGAGCGGCTGACTGCAGGACAATGAGCTGCGGGTTGTTGTACTACAGCCGGATGGGTTTATGTAAACACAACTCTTCTCCCGAGGCAACAAAAAAAACAGGGTTTCACAATATGGGATGAGATGCTGTGTTGAATATCTATTTTTATGTAAGATGTCATACCAACCGTTAGATGAACGTACCTTCAGATCACATGACATTTCTTCGGCTTCATGTCGCCTCGTTCCAAAGGCCAAATTAGTGGGAACTTTGAGAGCGTGATTGACTCCCGACAAAACGTTTAATACCACAAAGAGAAAAAGCAAAACTTCCAGTTGAAGGACGCTTTGGGAGAAATATCCCTCGTGCAGCCTCCAGGCCCGGTGAGTGGGAGGGCCGGGGCCAGCAGGGCCAGCAGGGCCACAGAGAGCCACTGAAAATAAATTGTGAGGGTAAATATAGCTTTGGTTAGAACACATGGCGTTTTGGCAGCAGTGGAATAGATGATTAGGAACGAGGCCCGAACGAAGTCACGTTTTCATCCGGAGGACTTGCAAGACATTTATTTCAATGCTCCGCTTCAAAGTTGGAGGCTTTAATTTCCCCACGCTTCGTTTCTTTCAGTGTCACCTGTTTTATGAACTAGTAAAATCATTCCACGTGCATTCATCTCCGTCGTCCAGACCGAAGAAGGAGCACCAAGGTCACGAAAACCCTGTTTGGAGAACATCCGCAATCTCCCTTTTCAAACAGCGATAAAGGATTTGACCCGAATCCGTCCGCCCGGGTCCTCGCCGACTACTCCCCCCGCCACGGCGCCACGGCCCGTGATTTCCCATTAGTGCATGACAGCGGGGCCGTTAATAGCGGCGGGGCCCTGCGGAGAGGCAGGTTGGCTGTAATTACTCAGCGGAGAGGTCGTGTGCAGAGCAGGCCTGTCACACCTCCCCCGGCTTCCTGCACGGGGCGAATTAAAAGCAACGTTGGGGGTTTGGTAATTAGTCAAACTAGACAGAGAGAGAAGCTGCGCTTTGAGGACTCAAATGGGATTCTGACATTCTGATTAACACATATGCGAATAAAAAATAAAAATGTATTTTTTGGGGCTGAATAAACTTTCTGAAGACAAATGTTGAGCGAGAAGAAGGAAAAAAAGGATTTATTTTTCAGTCAGAACTGGAATCAATGACTTCAGTTTTTTGTCTCCGGCTCGCATCCATCTTTCCATCTCACGCCGTCTGATGTTCATATTGCACGTCATCAAAACGATGGCGCACAATTTGCAGGGTCGTAATAACACAGAGGCAAATGTGTAGAAATGGAATTAAAGTGACAGCTGTGGGGCTCTTGCCCTTTGTAAAATGCACTCGACACGCTGCACTACGGAGTCAGCCGCGATTACCCAACATTCACTTCTGATCTTCTCTGGGTGAGACGTCGGCGCTTTAATCACTCGTCTTTGCAGAAACAGAAGGGAAATCACAGTGACGGGCAGAAAGTGGAGGGAAAAATTCAGTTTAATGGAAACGTCACGTCAAAGTCATTTCACTTGAAGGCCACGCTGCTTCCAACATAACTTCATACTTCCTTTAATCATACATTTATTGTATCACATTATTAATAAATGTGATTTCAGACATGTTGGTTTTTATTAATAGTTTATATTAGTGACCATTAAAACATACGAAGCCGGCAGACTTTTCCTTTTTATCAACAGTGCTTCAATACAAAATTGCAGAAATGTGTATTTTAGCAAAAACTGCTGAAACTGAAAACTATGACAATTTGTAGTGGAGACGTTCCTCTTTGTGTTGATGTTTCTCGTGTCTCACTCATGACTAAAGCCGCCTGGTCTTTACTGTCACATACTGTCTGATAATAAGCAGGGACTTTGGATTCAGTAAATTTGCAATATGAAGCACTGACAATAATGTGGCCAGATTACAAACCAAATACATGTGCGTTATAGTGTTATATGTTGTCATTGATGGGTCCATTTTTGAAACATATTTAAAAATGATGAAGTTTTTATTCAGCGTTAACCAACTCAGGGAAGGTTCTTTTGGTTCACTTTTGTTTATTTCAGATTTAGCAGCTTTTTTTTTTACTTGCAATCACAATATATTGAGATGTTTAGTGAGAAAACTACTTGTGGAATTCAATCTCTGTGGCAAAGGTGGATGATGAGTTTGCGTCCCCCGGGGTTTTAATCAGAAATGCATTGAAACATTTTGGCTCGTTTACAGGAGTCGAGGATCCGTGAGGTCAAATCATTTTGCGAACGCTTTCTAAATCTCTGCAAAGACGATTAGCAAAGCCAAAATAATGGTGATTGGTCAGCGACCGGAGACCAAATAATGAACACCGAGAAAACATCTTAGTGGCAATCATTAAAGAGCATACAACATTATCTGGTTGAAACCCCCCCCCTCGTCCCCCCGGTATCCTCTCTTTCTTCTGTGAAGCTGTAGCGCGTAGTTCCCCGGTTACTAATCAACAATCAGCGGGTAGATTGTTGCAGGCTTCTCCTCACTGCTCGAGCACCTGAGCTGTGATTACATGGCAGATAAACTCAGCAGAGAGAGTGAACCATGACGGCAAAGTGATGGGAAACAGTTGCTGTAGTAATTTGTAAGGATTTAAATTGGATAAATAGTAGAAATTGACACCATTTCTTGCATGATTATCCAGTAAAAAAAAGTGACACACAAAAACAGTTGCACCTTGAATGTAAGAGTCTGTACGAGGGGAAAAGAGTTCATCTGCACACTGCAGGAATAATAGTTTCAACTTGTTCGGATTTCCTTAGAGTTTCGGTTTGCAAAAGTCCCACATGTGTCCTCACATGCGGTTTTGATCCTCCGGAGGAAAATGTAGCAAGAAACTTCCCACGTCTGGAATTAAGGCAACGGTTAAAATGGACGAGGCAGAAGAATAGACGATCCCTCGCGTCCGGCACAGTTTGTGTTTCGGTCTCTTGGAAACAATTAAAGGGTGCGGACTTCAGTCTGCAGGAGCGCCGCGTTGCCGCGTTGCCTCGCCGCGGTTCTCCCGCCTGTGGAAGAACAAAACAAACAGGGAATTTCACCTTTTAAGATGAGTTTTGACCAAGCGGGAACGGCGAATGCCGACTCGCTCTTTACCTCCATCCTCATCACGAGCTCGTGCTGCGCGATCGACCCGCTGGCGGGCGCTCAGCCGGCACGCCCGGATCTGCAGCGGCGCGTCGTCCACGCGGCGCGTAGCCTCCATTAACATCTGTCCGACAGTAAAGAGAGACGACGTCGTCATTTTCCTCGACCCGGATGAGAGCGCCGCGTCGGTCCGGGGCGAAGGAGCTCCGTCACCTGATCGGACGGGAGCCGTCGCCTCGCGGCCTTCTTCTGCAGAGGACGCCTCGTCCCAGCGCGCCCTCCCCCCCCCAACCCCCCCGAGGGCCTCAGTTAGCGGCCCTGTTGAAGAGCTCCAGCACGGTGGCGTTGGTCCGCTCGAACATCCACTGCTGACTGAGGGAAGAGGCGTCGCAGGTGTTCATGAAGACGCGGCGCTCGCTGGGGCTGCTGTCGATGCAGCTGTTGCTGACGGGGTGATACAGGCTTTTGTCCTGGAGGGAACAGAAAGGGATGCTGTTCATTCAGGCCGATGTATCCGCCTCTTGATGGGATTCCCGGGGGCATTTTGGCGAGTACACTGTAACGTTTGTGCTCAAAATAATGACTCTCGCCCCAAACCTGTTGCTGATACAGAACGTCATCGGTTCTTTTCTCAAACACAAATTACGATGAACAAATTCTTCAGCATTGTCATGTTTTTCTAGCTGCTACGTGACAGAAGTGTAACCAAAGAAGGCCGCAAAAACTACAACTACAAAGTGTCCCCCTTTCCCTCCCCGCACCTCTCTGTAGCGCCACAGCTGGTTGCCCCTCATGCCGTGGCAGTCGTACAGGGTGACGGGGCTGCTGTGGGACACGGCGTCGAAGCAGACCTTCCTCGTGTGAACGGGGTCGCCCACCCGGATGTCCTCCCTCCACCCGAACGTCAACACCTGAGGGTAACACATCTCAACTGCGATGAAAACATCACACCCGTTCACCACCCCGATGCGCTTCCCGAGGTGTCGGTTTAAAATATTTGAGGGCGCTCAACTTCCATCTGAATCAAGCCTGCGATTACAGGCTACAGAGTTTTGTTTCATCCAGATCATCGCTGCAGCTCCGAGTGCAGCAGAAGGTGAAAGAGGCTCGTGAGGAGCACACATGCAGTTATGTGTTCAGTGATATTTGGCATTTTTAACTCGCTCTTCTCATTTTAAAAGCGGGTGTTTAAGAGCGGCCAAATGTGCCCAAACGAATTAACAAGGACACGCAAGGTCACCTGCTCATTAACCCCCCCTCCCACCCGCATGTGCTCCCATGAAAACCTCCCGCGGCCCGGAGGACCCCCCCCGGGGGGAAGGCGTTTCACTGGAGAAAGCGTAACCAATGACCCTCACCTGTCCGTGACTCCAGGCCACCTCCCCGCGGCCTTTCACGCAGCTCTCCAGGCGGACGGGGCTCCCCGACACAAAGTGTTTGATCTCCATGCACATGCCGCTGCCCACGTTCCGGATCTACAAAACACGGGCAGATGTACCCACGTTCAGGGGGACTGTGTAACATTCGGGAGGGCCCAACCTTTGGGCCGCCCCCCCACCCCCACCACCCCGGTGCTGTAGCATGCAGGAAGAGTGGACGCCCTGACGAAGTTATTGCAAACATCTTTCATCACCGTTTCATATGTGTTGGTTACCGCCTGGGAGTTTTTCTATCTCCACGCCCGTCGGAAACCTCCCAGAAGTATTAGACTGCAGCAGAGTCCAAAAACGTGTGTTGAATTGAACAGGATATTTATCCCACGACCTTTCCGGCAGCATGCGGCCTTTGATTGAGATCTCTGCGCGCACTGCACAGATATACGTGTAAGTCTGCTCCGGTGCGCCTGCGTGCGTCCACCGACCTCAGCTGAACTAGGTATGAACAACAGAATCCATGGCGATCGACAAAGGGTGTGGACTAAACAAGGAATGCACACGTGTGCAAAACATTGTACTTCCATCACCTGCATATAAATTTCTAAATGATGAATGAATTAGTGGAAGTTAGACAGCTGATATTTTCCCACCAAATGGATAAAAACCCTGTTTTGACTTTGCTTTTAGCTCTGGAGCCTTTTGTACCCATTTCCTTGTTCCTTTAATATCGGTACTTTTGTCTCTGCGGGTCAGTTTTTATTTCTGAAATTAAAAAAGAAGATGTCATGTACAAACTTTAAATAACTGTGCTAGTGCTGACAGTGAGTGGGAGCTAATTGCCTTATTATTATCCCCCCCGGGAGATTATCTATTAGCCTGAGTGAGTGTGTGTGTGTGTGTGTGTGTGTGTGTGTGTGTGTCTTCCCACGGCTAATCCCACTCTGCTGCTGGACCCGTCAGCCTTACTTTTCTGTGCTGTAACAAATCATGTGTGTGTGTGTGTGTGTGTGTGTGTGTGTGTGTTTAGAAGGTTTACAGCATCATTGACTTCTTGCAGAACGGATTCCGTATTGTTTCTCCCTTGATTGGGCCGAGACGATTGCACGTATGCGCGTCAGGCGATGGCCGATGGGAGGAGGGGAACAGTCAGGTGTGCGTCACAGCACGCTGAAAATAAAGAAAGCAAAGAAGCAGGAGACGGTGGTTACCTCCCCCCAGGCGGCGGCAGGAGGCTCCACCATCGGGTAGTGTTTGGGTAAATCCCAGGCCACCTCGCTCATGAACCACTTGAAGGTCTTGCAGTTGAGCCGGTTCCTCAGCTCCTTCTGGGCCGTCATGTCTCCCGCCGACAGGTGGCGGTACTCCGGCCGACGCTGGTACACGTATTCCCCGTATTCGTCCATCCACACCTCCGCCACGCGTTTGAGGTTCTGAAATGGAATCAGAGAGGAGAGAGAAAGGCGGATGCGTTCATTCACCGAGCGGCCTACCGCCAGAATGTCTGTGAGCCTCCCACAAATGAGCAGCGAGTCCCTCGTTCCCCGGCAGCGCGGAGGATCTGGTGGAAGCACATTGTGACTGTTTTGTGAACATAAATGTTCTCGGGGAGTCTGCTGCGACGGCGGCATCCATTTATTGACTCTGCAACAAAGAGCTGCTCTGCTGCGGCTTTTTAAAAAGAGCAATTTGGGCCCACCGAATTACAGCCGACCGTGTGAGTTGGCGTCAACGACTGCAGTTTAAGTCGAACGACGAAAAGTACTTCATGCAAATTCAGGACCGTCAGTTTCCCCCCACTCCCCCGAGGCTGCTGGTGGATACCGGACAGACCTTGGTCAGAAGAGACGACGGTGAACGTATGAATTGGAGTGGATTGACGTGTCGGCGCCGACACCGTACCGCTGTGTCGGACCCTCCCGGGAATGCAGAACATCTGATCTCCTGGATCAAAGTCTCTTACCTTCGCCAAGCTGATCCCACCGGGGACTTTGTAGGGGACGTACTTCCTGTAGATGTGTCCTACCCGGGAGCAGGGGATGTCCTCCATGCGGCCGCCACACATCCACACCTGCAGAGACGCACACACGAGGGGAAGAATCCCTTTCATCAGATGGATCCCTTTTGTGCACGGAAGCTTTGTCCGTCTTAAATTGCAAAGACAGCAGGCCGTGGAAAGGTAGGAGGAAGGTGAAGGAAGGAGACGATCAAGGAAATGAAGAGGAGAGTGATGGCTAAGCGTAAAAGAGGCGCAGTGATTCTAACAGGTTCATGAGTCCTGGGAGGAGAGAAGACGCCTAAAGCTGATTATGATGGTGACCTGAAATCAGCAGGGTCAGATTGGAGGAACTCACCGGCAGAGTGTACGAGGTTTAAAATGAGCAGATGAGGGAGAGACGACGGCCACTGGAAACAAAACGGCTCTCCAGGGAAACCACGCATGCAGTCTCTTTGAAATATTGTGGTCGTACGATAACATTTCATCCTTTTAAGCACCTTGATGTGCTATTTTTAATTAAAAACCTTCCTTTTAATGTTGTTTCATCGTGTTTATATTGCTTTCTCTTGTCAATCTCCGATAACCGGCTCCTCGTTTTAATCCCAAGAATACGACGAAGAAAACAGCAACGACAAATTGTCACGTCCTTTAACAAGACGTGAGCTATTTGAAGGTTAGAGGCGGGCTCCAACTGCCGGGAGTTTGAGAACATTGAAAGGAAAAATGCAACGCGAGCGTCTTTTATATGTGATTTCGAGGTGTGCGGCCGTGCAGAGTTCACAGGGGGTGTGAAGGGATTCGTCAAAGTCCCGTCAACCGGCAATCATCTCACTTCACTTTGACTTCAGTGCATTTTCAGGTGTCCCGCCCACTTTGTTCATACTGTACATTTACTATTGAAATGACAGCGAAAAACAACAGCTCAGATCCGTATAAAAATAGAAAGGAAGGAAGAAAAAACAAGTACGTTTTGGTATTTTTCTATTATTTTATTTTCTACTTCATTAAAAACTTTTATCAATACGACTTCTTCGAACATATCGCTGCCGGACAAAACCCAGCAAGGACTAAAACGGCAAGTAAAACTTGAGTTGCCTCTGTTGGTCTGTTTTGAATAAATAAAATAGTAGATGCCGTATGTCAGTGGCTCCTGTGTTCCGTTTGCTTCCACCTTCCACTACTTGAATAGTAATGGCCAAACCAAAGCTGGCGGCAATGCAGGAAAACTCCGGCAGAAGAACAGGAATGTAATGCGTCAAGCTCAACGACTGACTTTAAAGTGCACTTTAGATTAGAACCGATTACAGATTAAGGTCCCTCTTTGTGTCCCCAGGCCGGTTGGTCGTGAGCATATAAAGCAAAACACTGAGCAAGACGTGAAACTTTCAAAAAAAATCATGCAATTTATTTTTCTTTCTTTCCTTCCTCACGGAATATCTACTTTGTGTAGCTCCACTGATGGATGTTCAATTATTTCTGCCTCCAGTGACAACACGCGTTAACATAAGTGAGACTACATCCTGCACTGCACCCACAGTGCACGCCTCGCTCCATCACCTTGCTTGGCCCGGCTGTGCGCTTGTAAGGATCGGCGTTGTTACCGTTACGGAGGAGACGGGCCGTCTCTTCTGTGTCAGCTGATGGGGATCTTGGTGAAAAAAGAAGGCAAATTGAATATCGGCGTGCATGGAGGAGGGTTAAGAGGCACAGCCACGTGCTGATAGCTCAATTTAACGCCGGTTTGGGAAGTTATGTCAGCCACTATCTAAATGAGGTGAAAAGCTTCAAAACTAAATTTAATTGTAAGGGCTCAGCCCTGAGTCAGCTTTAAATAGAGGAAATCCTCACCTTGGAAACCACCGAAGGTCACGGTTATCCTTTATATTCTAAGGTTAAAGTGGATTTATCCTTTTCACTGCACAGTGGTCAAGGTGCTTTTGGGAGATTTGGGAATTCATTTATATTTGGGATTTCAAATGTTTAAACTACGCCCAACATCACACGAGGAAGAAAGAGGCCGTGTGTTTCTTTCCGCCGGTGTTGGAAATGCGTTTGCAAGATCCCAAAATACGCGAAAAAGACTCCTAAGCCGTTCTTCGGCTAACTTGAAGAGGTGCGTGCTGTCAACAACCCCCAACTTCTAAAAGGGCGACGGTAAAATATGTTAAAGCAGATCTGATCTGATCAAAAGGACACCGTCAGATGTCTCGTGCAAGACCAGAAACAAAGATGTGATGGACATAAAACAGGATGGTTGCATTCAACGTGTCTTATTATGAATACATGTGTGACCCTGATGCAATGACAACAGGCGAAATTATGATTGTCTAGAGGAGTAAATTCCCCCAAATATCCTCTTCAAACGAGGACAACATGAGCATTTAAGATTTCATCACTTTTACCTTGAAGGAGATCTCGTACTGTTCTCCTCCCCAGATCTCCAGACCCGTGTCGTATCCTCCGAGCTCCCAGAACCACTTCCTGTCTATAGCAAAAAGTCCACCTGCCATCACGGGGGACCTGAAGGACGCGCAAAACACACACACACACCACTTGCAGTACATTTTGTACAAAAGCTGAACCCAAAACTAAAGAGTTTTACACACTTTCCACTTCACAACTGACAGAAAAACAGCTCAGAAAAGAGGCCCCTCGCCTCCAGACGCTCATTACATGGTTAATATAATATAATCGTTGTGAAATTAAAAGGAATTATTTGCGGAAAATGATACTTGAAACAATCCGTCAAAAAGAAAAGATTTAGAAAAGTCTGTTTGCTATTCAAAAGGAGAAGGAAATAATTGGCGTGATGTTTTGTTTGAATAAAGACGGGGAGCTATGAGGAGAAATTATGTCCAATTTCTTCTTGTCCAATTTGCTGGCTTCACCAGAGTGCAGATCTCATTATGTACCAAATCCAACTCAAAAGCAAACAGCTAATACAACCGTTGCATCAGAGGGTAGCTACACATGGCAAAAAAAGGGTCAAGATATGTGAATAAAGGGCTGAATAGAATCAATGTTAATATGTTCACTGGATGACGCATGCGCGATATATTGGCGAAGCAATAAGAACAAGCCGAGCATATAAACGGCGGGCAGAAGAGTAGACTGCACTGAAGTTGTTAATTATGGACATTATTGTGTTTCTTGCCAACACTGGTTCTCACAGTAACGGCTCTAAATCCACAATGTGGGCGAAACCTTCCGGCCTTCGTCGTTAAAAACGACAACGACGAAAAGAGTCGGAATAGTCAAGAGTTCCTGTGTTTCTCAGCAGGTAATGAAGATGCACAGACGAGCGCAGGAACCAATTAACCCCCCTCGGAGCACCGCGGCTTTCCTTCTCCAGTGACGTGCCCGCTGAGTGCGGCGCTCGTTAGCGCGTCCCCCGATTGTAGCCGCCGCGCACCTGAGGCAGACAAATTGGGGCGGCAGGTGCAGCGACACGGCTACATTTGATTTCCTCGCTAATAGGCCCGGCGTGCCTTTCTCTAAACCCCCATGTCACGTCACACCGATATTAATCAGATCAAAAACTCGTGAAGCCCACCTTTGACCCAGACGTATCGCGATAAGCGGCTTGCTGGATGCACCAGGTTGTCATAGTTACAAGCAGAGGGCGGGGGAGGCGGGGGGGGGGAAAGCCGGCAGGTCGCCCGCCGTCGCCGGAGGTCGTCCCCTGAGGAGGATCGGTTAAACGGCTCCTGTACCCCCCCCCCCTCCCCCCTCATCCCGCTCCGGGGGGGCCCCCCCCACGCCTCACGAGCTGTGAGCGCAGACACGAGTTCCCGTGGCGATAACAGCCGGGCTTCAGAGGCTTTTGCCTCTCTGAGGGCGGGAAAGGATGACAGGAATCCGCTGGCAGCGGTAACGGTGCAAACACCCGCGTACGTCCCTGCGAGATTCTCCTTTGGCTTTTTGTCTTTCAACGCGTTTGTGTCGCTCAGTCCAAACGACGCTGCCACGTTTTCTCGATGTAATGGAGGTATCAACAGTTTGGAGTTGGGGAAATGGTTATTTTTGGGCGGGTCTCTTGGATGCAGTGCTGAACTATTGCCTTCGTTTGCCGAGTAATGAACCGGTTATCATTTCCAATTACGTCACGTGTCATTTTGTCCAAAGCGACTTACAATAAGTGCATTTCAACCAATTACAGGTTTGCATGTTTACATGCTGGCCATGAGATATCGAAATGTACCAACTTCCTTAAGCAACAAGTCAAACGTTTTTAGCCCAGTGAACTATCCATGTTTCATGCTTTGCTTTTGTCCTGCATAACACGACCAGTTTTCAGTTCCATCAGAGGAAACAAAATGAGATTTATTACAAATGTAAGTGTCTGCAGTGAGCTTGATTCTCATTGGCTGGGTTCTGCAGTCAGATTACACAAAGGTTTTGGATTTTGCATAAATTGCAAAGGAGTACAACCAGCCTCGGGAACTGGCTTTTGTGTGTCGTGTTAATTAAGAAATCTGATATTGCAGTTACAAAAACAGACCTATTGTGGAGCTTTAATCACTGTAATTAAAATGTCATTTCCAACCAATTGCTCAACTGGTGATACTTTGTTTTCCCCCCCGAGTAAGTCCGGCCTGCACTTCTTCCTCCATTCAATCCTCCCACAGACGCCCTTGACCAGAGGCGACAGGGGGGGGGGGTCAGGTGGTTTAATTGGCCGTCTGCAGCATTGCGTCGGCCCAGCGTCACTGACCTTAAGTCTACCGCATGCAGGTTTATACATGTTTATGTATAAAGAGAATCGCAAATGGACCTTCGGCTCCTGTAAGGGGATGTGGTACAACAGTGTGGCTGTAAGCAGGAGAACCACTGCGCCCCGATGTTTAATTCATCTGTTGACACAGTGTCTACAGTTGGAGGAGCACTGCAGCGCGGGCTGCTTGGGGGGGGGACACGATCCCGTGTACGTCCAAACTCATTTCCAAGAATTTGCAACAATCGTGCCGGTTTAAGGGGCGAAGTGGAAGATCGGGAGCATCGTAGAAAGTGCAGCGCAGTGACTCACTCGAAAGGCTCGCTGGGGTCGTCGCTCTGCAGCTCCGGAGGGATGGGTATCCGCTTGTAGTACATCTCCCAGTCGAACGCCCCCCGCATGGCGTCCCCCGCCTGCGTGTCGTAGCCGAAGTTGTCGTGGTCGATCACGTCGATCATCGGACACACGATGGTCTTCCTGTTCTGGGCGATGCGGTCTGAGAGGCACGGACACGAGCGCATAGTTCGGTCCCAGAAAATGCGTATTTTTACAGTGGTGATGGAGGAAGTCAACGGGCGCCCAAGAAGAAAGAGTGTAAGTGTGCGCTCGTGTGTTTTTGTGCACAATGCCCTTCTTCCACCGCCACAAAAGGGTGTCGACTCAATAACACTGTATGAAAAGTACAGCTCTAAAACTCTTTGAATCATTTATTTCTGGTAGAGTTTCTGAGCTCAACGTGTGAATATTTTCCCGGTAAGGGACGTCTGCTTAAAAGCGTTTTTCTTTTTCCCGGCTTTGCTTTTAAAATTCTATACCATTAATTATTACACGCTTGTCATTTCAATGCCACCCATCGATTTGTCAGGGCCTCCTTTAAAGTGGTAAAGTGCTGTGACTGAACCCAAATGGCGACGCGCGGCGCCTGAAGTTTGAAGCTCCCTGTGGAGGCGCGAACCGAACCGAAAAGGTAATTTACGCCACGTTCTTTTCTGCCAATCAACCTGTCGAACCCCCCCCCCCCCCCCGCCCCCGATGGCCAGTGACGCATTAGTTGAGGAAAGCTCAATTGTTACCTAACGGATGTACGGCTGATGCGGGCAATGCCGAAGTTGTGGGCGGGCGGTTTTGGCGTCGCTCACCCAGCAGCGGAGGCAGCCAGTTGGCGTTGGCCTCACAGTGGGAGTCCAGGAAGGTGATGACTTCCCCTTTGGCGGCGGCGGCCCCCAGCAGGCGCGTCCTGATGAGCCCCTCCCTCTTCCTGGTCCTCAGGACGCGAACCTTCGGCATCCGCGTCATGTACTCCTCCAGGGCCCCCTTCAGGTGCTCTGCAGGGGAGAAGGGAGGGGGACGGAGGGGGGTTTGTCAGTGTCATGTTTGGTGCCGTCAAGGACCGTTCAGTTAAGTGGTATCATTTGCGTTCCCTCAGCCTGAGACATCGACAGCAGTAATTTACTTGGTTTCTTAGAATGCTTTTGGAAAGATAACAGGGAGGGGGGAGAGTCAACCGCTGGGACATGAAAATTGCCTTTCACGAGCACAAAGCTTTGTCGTTTATTGAATCTGTTGACGGTGAACTTCGCTTTGCTTGTTTAATGCCGATCGGTGGCTGTTTGGATGCTCCAGATGCAACACAGTTTATCCCATTTTAAACCGACTCACAGCAGCCATCGCGGACGATGACAACACCCTTCTGTCTAAGTCATGGATCACTATTCTAACTTCAGCTTGGTAATATTTGGTCGAAGGATCATTGAGGATTTGAGCAATGCATCTGTGAGGGTGTGTTTTTTGTTAAGAGACACAATTCTCCAACGAGCTCTTTGAAACAACTTATTTTTGGACTCGTTTTGTATTTGGAATGTTTGCCTTAAAAGCCAAAGTAGGGTTTGTGTGTAGGGGATGAGGCTCCAAGCGTTTTTCTTTTTTTTACCACTCATCTAATATCAGAGGATAAGAGCCTTTAGTGTTTAAATAGTAATAATCCCAAAGGAGGTTAAAACATAGACACGAGTTTGTTTTTTTCCTTTCATCATACCTTTTGTTTTGTGCAGAGTAACAAAAACAAAAAAAAAATTACAAATTGATAGAAAGACACTAAAACGTCAACGTGCAAGCAGGGATGTGGAAGCAAAACCATTTGCCAACATTGCGAGCTTCCTGCGAGAAGGTCAAACACTTCAGGAGACTACTCACAAATCCATACGTCCTCTGAAAGGTCTCTAGGTTGTGAAGTCTCGTCACGCGGCGATCATCGTCAAGGTCACAGCTCACTGTTACGTCCGTTCTAGTTTCACAGGAAATGTTGGAATGCGGAGGGATCTTTTACACGAGGGCAACGGGAAAGATGTGGCGGGACTCGTTCCCCCTCTCGCTTCTCTGTAGTGCAGTAGACGCGGTGACATCCAAGCCTCCATCTTCCCTTTCATTGAAACTGTGCTCTCTTCCCTCGGTGGCTCATTTCTCTCTCTCCCTTCTCCAGTTAAACACCCGCACATGATGCCGTTTTCCCTCTTTTCATTACTTCCTCTGTATCGAACCCCAGTTACGATCCCTCCACCGTGGAGGCCCTCTGGGCCCCGAAGGTCAGCCATCTTTATGCTCCAATACCGTGTTTATTGCGCCGCCGACCCGCCCGCCGTGACGTGTGACATTGCGACGAGGGCGCGCGAAAGGTCGGCGCCCAACTGTGCGGAAAAAGGCGAGCGCGTCCGCCCAGTTGGGCTCCCGCAGTAAATCAACCCATTAAGAAACTGACCATTACGGGCCCCCGAGCCGCCCCTCACGCCACCCCGCTAACGACCGGAACGCGACGCAAACTCAATCGAGCGGGCGCTCAACCCCCCGCGTGCGAAGGGAGGTGAGAGGGGGGAGGAGGGGGGAGAGATCGCAGCGTTTAATTATGATTGGTTAATTTTCGCTGAATAAATTGGAATACCGCTCGAGATGTTTACCAAGAGCAAAAGGAGGCAATTAATCAGGCTAATGAGAGCGAGCTGATGTCGGCAAACACGTTAGTCTTTATTAGAATTTGGAGCAGAGGAGATCGGAGGGTTGAGGCGTCGCGGGTGTCGGGGGGTCGGGGGGGGGGTCACGTCTCCGGCGTGGACCAGGGTGAGTCGCTCTCCGTGCAGCAGGATGGTGATTAAAAATTGAACTATATACACACACACGCACGCGCTCTCATGCTCCATCTGAATTCCCCAGTAACCCATCCGCCACTTTCTTTCTTCCGCACGCCTGCAGTACGTTGCTCACTCATTTCCTCCAGCGGACGCCGCGGCGCGCTTTCATCTGCCGCGGCGGCGGCGGCGTACTCAGACCTGAATTAGCGTTTGGCGGATGAAAGGGAAGGCAGCTCGCCTCTGGCCCTCGTCAAAATGTCTGTGTTCATTAAAGACGTCATTTGATCAGATGTTATTTTTAGTTTACGATGTGGTCTTTTACCACATGGCAGCCACTTTAATACCGAAAGCATGTTAGTCTCCCCCGTCGATTAAAGGGATTTCTACCAGCCTCCCGACCATATTTACAGGCGCAGGTCACTGCTTCCTGGGATTGGCACGTTCCATGACATTGGGGATTGGTTATGAAAGAAAAACTGTGTTTTTTTCTCCTCATCCCATAATGACGTCTTTTGTGCTGACACAGCGCTGCAGAGACCTTGAATTGAATACCATTGTTACATATTCCAATCTTTAAATAACCCTTTAAATGGGCCAATGCATGAAATTCTTTAAGCTTCATGAACGAAGGTCAAAACAAACTCACGCACTATAAAACGGGTAAATCTCCACCACGAATAAACCGCATCCACCCAAATGCTTTAAGACAAATCATACGCATCGGCTCAGTGTGCCGTGCGGCGGCCCCCCGTCTTTTGTTTTTCCAGGGCGGTGGATTAATCCAAATGATGCTCTGGCACGCCACCAACGACTGGAGCCGCTCGCTTATTCCCTCGGCTAAATATTCAAATGCCCCCGTGAACTCCATTACACGCCGTCAATTCCTGCAGCCGCTCGCATTTTGATTGGTTTAAAATCAGGGGAGTGACTGGGCTCCTTGTAGGTCAGTGTTTGCTGCATTGTGAGGCGACAGCGTACACGGGCCGCTTGCTGTCATGTGGTCCGTTCCTTTACCGTGACGGTGCGACGACATTCCATTACTGCAGATGTTGGCAGTGATCAGTCTCGCTTCTCACCCATTCGGTCGGAAACCGAGGCCCCCGGGAGAGACATTCACACGCGCCCGGAGGTGGCAAAGACGGCAAAAACCACATCATCTGCAGATCCGGAGGTCAACGAAGCAAACATCCCCTTGACATTAATCTCCCAAGAATTTGTAGAAAAATGGGGGGAAAACCAACAAAGAAAGCGACGGGACACGGGAGACATTTCAAGGGCACAACTCATGACGGTGTACAATGAGATGAGGCCGTCTGGTCCACTGGTTCGGTGGGCGTCGAAAGCTCTTGAAGACGTGAGGTTCCAGCTCTGTTTGAAAGGTCTGCAGTCACAGCCCTTCGCTTTTCTACCTCACGCTCACTCACAGGGAGGTTCTAGTGTGTCCTGCCCGTGGAGGCAGAGGGTCAGATCCAGAGGGTTTTCCTCTTTGAGAAGGTTTCCACTGAGCTCTTCTGATGTGTGAGGAGCACATGTTGTGCCACCTGGAAAGTGTCTTACACCTACAAACAAGGAGGTGCCCGTCCCTCAATACCCCGAGAATAGCAGCTCCGTCACAGAGTGTGCATCTTACTTTAGACTGGTAGTGATCATTAAATCCCCTTATAAATATAAGCTTTTTCTAAAACTGCACAAGAAATAAATATGCATGACCAAAAGAATGGACAAAGTGACGAAGAAAAGAATACAAATGAATTAACATATTGTAGGGGGGAAAAAATGGTTGCTAACTATATTACAACTGACTGAGTGAAACCTGAAACCTTTGTGATTCATGTAAATCTGGTGAAATCTGGGTACAACCGCATCGAACCATCAAGATCAAAAGTGAAGGTTTGCAACAAAAATATTGTGGCAGTACTGACTCACGTCAATCCTCTACAACTGCACTGCAGCGCAGGTAATAAAGGGAACATCAGTCCCAAACCACACAGCTGTTTAAATTGTTTGCAACATCTGTTGTTCGTCTTGTAATCGGATAAAACCTCAAGATGCCCCCCAGAGTGTCCGGCCTTTGCCTCTCCAGCGTGTGTTTACTGTCGACGCTCACAAAGCGTGATCGGTCTCTCTGATTTCCCCTTTTGGAAGCGCAGCATCCAAAAGGCGTCAGGGGAATATCCTCTTTGCCCTTTTTGGGAGAGGCGTCGAGGAGCACCACGCGATCCCGCTCCGTCTCGCTTTCCATCTCCCCTTAAGATGCACGTTAGTTGCTGTTGTAATAGCGCTTCCCATCCTGAACCCAGAGCCAAGATTATTAGCCAGTAACAAATGCATTAAAAAAGCAAAAAACGGGAATTTGCTCGTTGGCTTTTAAATGAAGCTCAATGGCGACGTTTTTCTAGTTCACGGCTTAAAGCGGAGGCCAGTAAACGCATCGCCATGGCTACAGAAGACAACTTTGAGTTGGGATCGATCAGCTCCCACTGACGGCTCAACGTCTCTAAATAGGGAACACTTAATTAGCTCCTTTTGTCCTCCGTCGTCTGTCTCCCTCTCAACCTCCCTCTTCATATCGCTCTCTCCCTCGTCTCTCCGTCACACTTCACCCAGCGCCATTATCTCATTATCTCCCTGCAGCCGTAGTCACATACAACACACACACACACAGAATGAATGAATAAACATGCTGAACTTTGTTCAGTCTCGCTCTGCATTGCTTTCCTCTTCCATCGTATTCCGTTCCACAAATTGTCCCGCCATCTTCTCGTAAACGGCGCATTCTCCCTGAACCGATCCATCACGCAGACGTTAAGGCCGTCGGTGTCAATAAGACTTTTTAAAGTAGCTCTGTGCTGCTGACAGACAAGCCCCCGGGCAGCCGGAGCGGCTCGATCATCATTACAACTTTCTTGAAATTAAATCAGCATTAGGTACCAATTAGAAACGTGTGAACGGTACCTTTTTTCTTTTCTTTTTTTTTTAAACAGCAGATGCCACCGTTTTTTTCCCCAGCTAATGGGCTGAGATAGTGATGTGACTTGGTCAAGAGTCCTGTCTGTCAGGCTGTCCATCAATAACAGACGCTTCGCTGCAGCGCTAGATTCTCACCGCGAGGCGGATTGCTTTGACATTTGCTGCATTTGAATATTCATTCATCACTGCGGATTTAAAGGTTTCCTTCACGAGGTATCATGAGAAATGTACATTAGACTAAATATTATTATTCCCCTGAAGATGCATACTTAACATTTAGTCACTCCATCAGCTTCCCACTAAAGCAAATGTCAAAATTTGCTCGTGGTATTCATTCATTTAGCTGCAGAAACGACGTTAGCTTCGCCATCAGTAAACAGGAGCACGTATTCAATCCACCATTCTCTTTTGAAACGACACAGTGGAAATCTTTCTGCCTCCAGAATGCGAGACCCTTATTTCTGCACAATTAGCAGCGGACCCCGTGGTCGCGTCGGGTTCGGGGGGGGGGGGCGTGCAAACACCTGCCGGGAGCCGCGCTCGCCCAACGCCAAGAGGGATCTACGTCGGCCTGGAAATACATCAGAGGTCCCTGTGCATAATAGCAGTGTGCAGACCCCCTCTTTATTTGAGATGAAGTGGGGCAGCCATTTGCCCGACTGATCCCGATGGGGAGCTGGAAATAGGAAAGCAATAAATCAAGCTGCCACGGGCGAGTTTACACTACAGCGGCGGCTACCGGAGTGAGCCGACCAGGAGGCTGCTGGCTACGATTTTGGGGGGAAAAAAATCAATGCAACGGAAAAAATCCAAATGATCGCGCGTACAGACGGGGGATTAATTTGTTTTAACTTGGAATTGGGGGAGGGGGGCTTATACATTACAAAACATGGGTAGAGCGTTGTGGTGATTAACGTCTCCCAAGGACACATTGGCTGTTATTTAGAAACAGCTTTTGCAAATATATTCATTGTTCACTTGCACATCAGGGAATGTTTTCGATCTCCACGCTTCTCGTGTTCAAATTTAAAAAAGGAAAGTTAAGTCCGGTCAAATTGTCAGAGCGGCCTCGTCCTGTCGAACGACATCACTTTGCTTTGGAACAAGAAGAAAGACAACGTGCCCCGTGAGCAGAATGGTGCTTTGGAGCTTCTAACAGCGTGCGAACGCACCACAGGCCGACGCCAACTGTCAGCGACATCACAAAGCCTGCAGTCAACAACGCAAAGCAATTTCGGGCGAAGATGGGACGACGATTGTAGGAGAGATCAGTACAATCCGAAGAATGACAAAACAAAACTGTGAACTCGTGTTTAAATGAGAATAGGCGCTTTAACACAAACACGGTCCTTTGGAACTCATCCGTGGCTCGCGTGAAAGAGACGGAGTCGGTGCACATCTCCTGAGCGCCGCTCGGACGTTTGCTTTATTCTTCGGAAAACAGAAAACTTTGGCGGACCGGGTTGCCGTAGCGTTCTCTTTTAATTAATGTCACCTCCAACATCCAGCGAACACGTGTGAAGGAGTGAAATATGCTGTCATTCAACAACACCGTCTGGATCCTCCCGGACCACATTAACACAAGAAAAGGGAGGTCATTTTATTTAATTACAACATGTGTAACGTAACCTCGTGCTGTTTAAACGAGGTCCTCGTAATGACTTCCGGTGTAACTGGCGCGTGACGTGTGCAGCCGAGCGCAGCGAGCTGAACCGGGCGTCAGGAGGACCGAGGAAAGGAGAAGGAGAACCAGCTGAGTCGGGCGCCTCCCCTTGTTGATCCAAAAAGGATGAAATGCACACAATCCATCGTTTTGAATGAGCCGTCTGGACGTTTCACACATGGACATATTTGGGCGATTGTCAAACGATGGGACAAACGTGAACGTGCTTTAAAATATGGAATTCATGCTAAACGAACCACCTGGTTAGGAACATGTTGTAGTTCCCGTAATGTTGGACGTAAAATGTTCCTTAAAGGGGGACACAAACTGGGTGAATGTCTCGCGTTGGCGGCCAGTTGACGTAGATGTTTAAGTGATGTTTTGTTTCTCAAAATGAAGTACGCACGAATAGAAACACACAGGCAAACTCTTCCTTCTCCTCTTTTCATTGTCCTACAGGGAATTATTTATTTTAAATCAATGTGTGCACTATAAATGAAGCCCACTTAAACCACACTTCATAATAAATGACTTCCCCACTCCTCCGTAATGCACTCGCTCCCTAATTTACTACCCGAGGGTTCAATGCTCAACGTGGATTTGTCGTCCTCTGCACAGAGAAGCCGTCCCGCATTATTCCCCCCCGACACTCCACCGGAGACCGGAAACCAACCCGAGGTGGACTTTGTCCTCGCGTCTCCGACGGCTTGATTGAAGCCGGACTCATTCCTTTCGTTTCGGAGGGCGGCGCCAACGGGGGACGCGAGGCGGCAGAGGAAAAACAGGAAAAACGAAGGTTTCTTCTTCCTCTGGATTCGTGGACACAACAGCTTGCGTTTGAAGAATGAGGTTGGCGGGTTAATGGTGCGTCTTCTGGGACCCATTGATTGGACGCTTGCTCAAGCCGCTTCCCCCCCCTCCCCGTGCACATCCCTAATTTCCTTTTCCTTCGGTAGACTTCTAACTGGTGGAAAACACCATTAATACGACACAACTAAAAGGGAGCTGTGATTCCGTGTGGATTCTTCGCTTTGTATCCGGCCTCGCTGGCAGAAAGCCGCGGCTCCGTCCTCTCCGTCCTCCGAGCCGCGATGGGCGCCAAACCTCTAAGCGAGTCCGGGGCGGCGGGAACGTCTCATTACCGTCCGGACAGCGGGGGGGGCCGTGACGGAGAGGGCTGGTAAAATGCAGAGTGAGAGACAAAGAAAAACGCACACAAAGAGACGCACAACGATGCCGCGGAGAAACAAAAGGCCCGCGGGGCTGCACGGATCGGACCGGAACGGTACACAAACAAAAAAACAGAAGTCTTTTTGTTTGGCAAGATACGATTATACCTTCGTACAAAGCGGCAACTACCTCGTCTGCTCAATGCAGACTGATGGCACGAAGAGGTTTGTTGGGGTACTGAGACGCAGCAACACACACACACACACACAAATAAACTGCTCTCCAATCTTGAATCATTTCTGAAGAATGAGTCCATGTTCTACTCCGTTTTCAGGTTCACAGGTCAAGACGCGATTCATGAAAAGACACACGTGGCATTCTAATGCAGTTTAGCCTCAAGTGGATGAGAACACTATTTTTATCTTAAGCAGCTTTAAAGGTAGAATAGGACCGAGGTGGAGGATCGAGTCGCCCGTCACAGGGCTCAATGGGCCCAATGACACGTGAAAACATCACATGAGAACCTTTCATACTCTCAGACAACCTTTGGCTCATTTCTCACTGTATGAACCGATTATAATAAAACATGAAGGTTTTCTTTTGGAGTAAATGAGAGATCATCACTGGGAATAATCCGAGGCACAATGAGAGCCTTTCCGCTTCGACCAAAGCGTGTTTTTGATTAAACGAAGACAGAAATATACATTCGGATCGCAGAAAGAGGCTTCATTTCAATAATCTTCAAATTGAGTAGTTTAAATTATTCTTCACATGCTTTTGAAAGACGATTCTGCTTTCCAGTTGCCGGGTAACAGTGAGTTCTTTGAGGAGGTTTACACAGGCCGGCTTTAGGAGGCCAAGTGTGAAGAGGTCTGAGATCAGCTCATCATTCCTCAATAACCTCTTTACAGTTTTCGCAAGTGAAGAAACAAAAGGACATTTGCACAGCATCGGGTGTCTGAAATCCTCCCCAATTGGTCTCACCTACAACCGGAGATGTGTGCATTCAAAACAATCGACCAAAATGATCTTTTAAAAGTAAACCACTATCGTTCAGGCCCACTTTACCGATGTCATTTATATAAATGCAACTAAACGGTATGGATATTTTTTTTTAAATGATATGTGTATGTATTGTATATGCATCGAAATGCCACTACAGGATTTAGAAATTGAGGGAAGCAACACACACTCGGAGGTGCGCGTCGTCGTGCACCTTTGTCGCTGAAGTCGTCGACCAGGATGACCTCGGCGAGGAGCTGCGGCGGCGAGCGGTTGAGCACGCTGTGGACGGTCCTCAGCAGCGAGGACCAGCCCTCGTTGTGGAACGGGATGATGATGCTGGTGTTGGGCAGCTTCTCCGCGTACAGCTTCCGTTTGCAGCTGCAGAAAAAAGGGAAAAAAGAAGTACGCAAATAAAACCCCTAACGCGTGTTCCCCCGAAAGCACCATTCAAGCCATTTCATCTGATGGTTTTGCAGAGAAAACTGCATTTCAGAGAGAAAAACAAAGGCTGTTCTAAACAGGCCTTCACATTTCATACAGAAATCTCTTTGGTTTTGATGCCAAACTGTCTTGCATAAAAATAACAATAATAATTAACAAAAACGCAGATGATCACATTCTTCAAAACATGCTGTTTTCAGTGAAACGCTCTGAATATTGCTGGCGGGGTGAAGTGAAAATGCAAAGGACGTTTTAGCACTACACCCACATAACTCTGCATGGCAGCTAATCACGGCCCGCTCGCTGATGGAGAGCGACGCATGGTGGGGGGGTCGGGGGGGCGGAGCCGGGTGTAGCGAGCCGTGTCAGTCCATCAGCGCCCGTGTTGAACATCGGCCCGCCTGTTACTCATTCAAATGTGAACGCTGTGAGACGGTCCGGGTGATCGGTGAGGCAGTCGACTGGTGACTCTTAACAAACCTTGTCCAATTCCTCTGTGTGTGTGTGTGTGTGTGTGTGTGTGTGTGTGTGTGTGTTTTATTTAAATCTTGTCAGCGTGCAGAAATCAAATGTGTCAGTCGTGGGCGTGCGACCGGCTGCCTCTGAGGCCCCGGCAGCACGCCAATCACCAGGTGGGAGACGCTGCCCCCGGCGCTCACAATCAATATTCAACAATGTATAATGTACTTAATGTTGAATTAAGTACATGATTAAATCTATTTTTGCATTTTGCTCTGTGGAATAAATATTTCATCTCATTTAATCATATTGTATCAACTGCAAGTGCAAAATAAATAGAACCAAAGTTAAATTAAAAAGAAATAAGAAATGCGCACAGACAGATATGAGTATGGATATAAGATAAATAGACAACAGAATTGTTTATCACGATATGTTCCAAACAGTCTCGTATTGCTTTATATCTGAAATGTTCTTTTTGTTGTGGTATTGATATGCTGAGTCATTGCATTGATCTGCATCCAAAAGACTTGATGAAGATGGACCCAAAGGAACTCCAGACTTGACTAATAATTGTGCCTTTTCTGAGCTTCTTAAAAGAACTGCCGTTTGCGCGAAGGTTTCAAATGAATGACTGGATTCGATCGGGCATCGGGCAGCGGACTGTCGACTAGTACCTGGTTACTTCCAGGCGTTCCGGAGTAATTATTCCCATCGGCGCAGGCGGGTCACAGCGAAGAGATGTGTACGGGTCAAGGAAGTAAATGCTTTCAAAGGCGTCGGTTTGGACAAGAAAAGAAACCAATCCTTGTGGGCGAACTGGCGGTGGGAAAGCGTTCGAAGCGGCTTTCCACACAAAGAAAGGGAAGGTTCAAGAGTCAGACGAGAGCTCGCCAGGCCGCCAAAAGAAAAACTGGGATTTAAGGCCTTCTACAATACCACTATTGAAATGTCCCTGCTCTCTAAATTATATAAAAAGGGTCTTTTTGTCCCTATTTTGTGATGCAGCTGTAATTATCGATGAATGAAGCCCATGTAGACAAATGCACAGGTGGCAGTCAGGGGCTTTAATATCCACATTTTACTGAATTGTTTTTTCCACCAGATCCGGATCGAACGGTTCAAGGCAGTGAGACGGTCTCAATCCGGGCCTTTCACACACACGGCAGGACCGACGGACACAAAGTCCTCTTTCTATACATTTTCAGGACATCACATTTATTCACACTGACACGCCCGGTTGTGAGATTTAAGGTCTCCGGAGGACGCACACAAACACCGGCGTACCCACGCGGGACTCACTTTGCGTGCCGGATGTCGGGGACGGAGCGATTGAGGGAGATCTGGTTGCTGATGTAGATGTTGAAGCCGTTCTCCCTGTAGGCCTGGTCCGCCCGGTCACTTTCCGACAGAGGAAACGGTTTCCCCTGCTCACCGTTACCTGCAACACACACACACACACACACACACACACACACGGGTCAGTGACGCTCCATTAACCCTGAATCCATCTCAGAAACATGCATGTGGACCCAAACACTGTACATCAGTCTGTATTTAAATATGCCGATTGTTCACCTCGCTGATTGTGAACCCCGAGAGGACAAAAGGACGGAGGCTTCCAGGTGTTTGTGCAGAAATGTCAGTTAAGGGTATTATGATATTCTGATACCTTTATGATACTTTCTCTCTGGCAGACGAAAACACCAAACTATACACGCTAAGTCATTTTAAGGCTTAATCTGCTGGTGGTTTTCCTGATTAAACTGTCAATCGTCAGGAAATAGTAAAAAGAAAATGTTTTCCGAATCCAAAGTGGCTTTTTTTGTCCAACAGCCAAACCAATTTAGTTTAAGATCATTTAAAAAAGCAAGAAAATATTCCAATTCAAGGCTGGAACGAGCTGGTGAAAAATCACTTTAAGGGAAAATAAACCAATAAGCTTCCAGTTAATCAACCAATCATCTGCGATCAGGACTGAGACAGATTATACACACACACACACACACACACCTGTCCATGTGCTGTGTGGCACTGTCTAGATGTGAGACACGTACACACAAGCACGCACGTAATCACTCCAACGCTCCTCCAAACGCACAAACAATCCAACTCATTTCAGCAGTGCATCAAATTACACCGGGCCGCGTGTTTCATTAACCGCTCATCAACGCTCTCCACACAAACGCACAAAGACGCGCGGAGGCTTATCTACAGTCAGGGAGCGTCACATTGAAGTGAGCCGCCTGGTTTCATTAGAGATGATCTTTCCACATTCCTGGAGGTACCAACTGTACAAAAAAAATAACGCTCTTCAGAGATAAACTCGAATAATAAACCCACATATTTTGCTTATTTTGTTCCTCGTGGTTGTTCAAACCTGAACCGCAAGAGAGATTTCAAAGCCATCCAACCATAAGATTTGTTTCTGAGTGAATTACAGATTATTTCGTTTTTTTCCTGCGGACTGAAATCGACCAAATGTTTTCATTTGCACGGTGCGCACGTTCCTCCTGCCGGCATGTGAAGAGCTCCAGGCAGGTTTGGTTGTTGACCGTCTCCCACTTTGCCTTCCACCATTACTGCATGCTGGGACATTCTCGCCCCAGCTGTGTCCCACATTCATACCACATATTGCTCTGCAGCTCCTGTCTCTCAAAGCCCGACGCGCGCGCTTTTCTCATTGCCGCTTGGCAAGAAAAAGTGAATTTTGTAGTCCCACTTTCTTAAAATCAGAAAATACAAAACTTTATTTTACAGCAGGAGGTGAAAAAATCCAGGGGTCTCACAAGCCCGGGTGGAGATGTGAGACCAGGTGCTTTGTGATGCTCATTCCCAGGAACTAAACACCTCTGCTCCATCGATAGAAGAGTGGGTTTGTGTTCCCGTTTCCTTTTTATTAATCTAAAGTCACTTTCTCTTTGAGCAGCGGGTTTTCTCGCTATCATTTTTGAATATAGGCCATTCTGTACCTTTAAAACCGCCCCTGCAGAACAGCTGCAGCTGCTTACATCCAAATCTAAAACGCAGTTCGCGCAATTCAATCCGCTGTTAAGAGGTTGTCTGCACAGCCTAAAAGCCTCAATGGTTCTTGTGCGCACCATGAAAAAAGATCTTCATATGAATTAATAAAAAGGCAAATTCAGTAGCGCTTGTGAAAGAAAAACAGACGAGGGTTTGTTTCCCACTCAAAGGCGTGAGGCCGAATCGAAGCCTTGAGTAGCAGATCGACTGAGTGTATCTACAAACCGCTGGAATGAACCCAGCATGGATTCGCACCTCTTTTCAGAGGGAGACGATTCCACCCGGAGAGAGCGAGGACCCACCTGAGCGAGCGGCGTCTCTCCTCATCGCTTCGTAGTCGTGCCAGTCCGTCCGCCGCACGCCGTCCGGTCCCACGTGGGCGACCTTCCTCGCCTGGTTCGACCCCTGCAAGGGGACACAGGCACACGCGCACACACACGTTTAGGCCTCCGCCGTTTAAGCTGTCCGGAGACCACGAGTCGGATACACGAGATCTGCACATTCAAGATGCTTAAAATCAAGATAAATAATACAAATGTGATGCATAAGAAGCCATATAATCTAAGCCATGAATTGCAAATGCCAGAATAGAAGAAAAAAAAAAAAAAAGAAGAGCCGCAATAAATCTTTTACAACGAACACACAAACTTGTGCAGAATCCCACTTAACGTCACTTCATTTTCCTCTTGGCTGTGAGCCGAAAGCCGCACGGTTATGTTTTTCTCCTTAAAGTGCCCCGCTAACAGCCGGGGTTTTACACAAAGGGTGGAAAACCTCTTTCTATTTTTTATGACATTCAGCTCCACTGCTCCGACACACATGCACAGACATACACGCCTCGCTGCACACCCTCATCAACAAAGCTATTATTCTCTACTCAGCATTTAAATTCAATACAGCCATTTATGAAATTTCCTCTGCTTTAAGAAATTACTTTCTGTGACTCGGAGGATATTATGGGATCACAGCACAATGATAAATCAATTAGCTCCATGGGAGGATGCAATTAGTAAATGCCGTTAATACAAACGGCGCGTCTGACTGCGTGGAATGCCATTAAGCCGGCTGTTAGCTGATGCCACGGCGCCGGCAAACAAGCAAGCGCGACGTGTGACGGGAGCACGCGCGTGTGTGTGTGCGCACACGGGTGAAATGTGTCGGCTGCCTCCGGTCACAATGCCGCTCGACTTTCCACAGGTATCCAAGGTAGCATTTACTGTGTGAAACAGGATTTACCTTTGATAAAATCATCTCGGTTGTTTTTCCTGTGGATCTTTCTTAATTTGATTTAAATATAATGTATGTGGGACATGATGCATATTGTTTTATTTCAGTTTGATAGAATGCAGTTCACTTTGAACGTATTTCCACTCAGCATCACCCCCGCACTGAAAAGTCTAATAGAAGCAATCGCGAGTGCAGCAGTGTTTCGTATTGTGCTAAATTGTATTTTGGGGTCAGTCCCTCGGAATATGAAGGGGATGTTTGAGAGCCGCCTTTCTGCAACAAAAAAAGAAGAAAAAAATGTATCAAAGAGCCCAAAACGAATTTCTTCCTCCGAAGGCTAAAATAAAACATCGTATTCCAATCGTAAAGACTCACCGGTGAGAAGATGGAGACGGTAAAACTCCGTCATTCTCATCATTCTGCCCGCGTCCCTTCCTCACGCCCACCCGCCGCGTCCCCGGGGGCCCGGCGCCTCCCTAACGGCCGTCGCCACGGACAACGGAGGCGTTTCCTGCCCGCGGCCACTTTTCAGCTCCATCAATATTCAAGGTGTGGCGTGAAAGTGGCTAATAGGGCGTGACGGGAGCTACGCCAGGAACCGCGCGGGCCGTGTTTCATCTCCATCAACTGCTCCGTCATTAATTACAAAGCGCTGTTTTCAGACACGCCGCGAAGGAATTCATACTTTATCAGCCAAAACATTCGGGCTGAACGCAGCGAGAGAGAGAGAGAGAGAGAGAACGACAGCGAGGGAGAGGGTGGCGTCCAATTTCACCTGAGTGATCACTAATTAACGTTCACGTAGCCTCCCCCAAAGACAAAGCCATCTATTCATCGAATGTTTGCAGCTTACAAAGCGTCGGCCCCCCTGGCGGCGGTAAAAATCCCGAGCTCTAACACACGTAGAACAAAGCAGCAGATCATTGGCGATCATTTACTGAATGAACATCAAGGTGTATTGAAGGAGACTTGAAACCAGCGGCCGAGACCAGAAACTCATGGTCACGATGCTTATTTGTGTCATGCAAGGATTTAAAGCTAACTAAGGCGGCGCCAAGCAATCATACACCTGCAGCTGCTTAGGAGAAGATGTCCTCCATCATTATTTACTGTTATCCACGGACTATTTTTCGCCCTCTCCCGCTGGCTTCTGAAAAGGCCGTGCACGCCGCACCTGTCGCAGACTTGAAAAGGTCTTCAACACCTGAAAAAACCAATGAAAAGCTCAGCACAATGAAAGGAAATGCCAGGGCTAACCTTTGAGGCGTTATCTTTTTCGGAGTTACCTCAGCGGGCTTTGTTGCAGCGGCTTTATTCTTCAGTGGATGTTCGGTGTTATGGCACAAGAGGAGCTCTTCTTCGGAGAAAGATGTGACAGCAAAATCAGAAGAGAATGCCAGTGAAGTCTCCCTTGTGCCCGATGACCTTCCCATTAAAGCATACTGGTAAACCTGTGAGGTTTTTTGCACGTGTGGTGGAAGCCGTCCAGCCTCTGATGCTACGACTTTAGAGACTATATCAGAAAGGGGTTTGCGTTGCTCTCGCGCCGTATTCTGTGTATTTCATCGCTTTGCGCTGCGTTACCGAGCATAGGGGGGACTAAGTCGACAAAAATGTAATGAAAAATTACAAAAATGTTCAAATATTTATCTTGATTTGTGTTGCAAATGTTCAAATTTAACATCGGCCTTGAAAGTAGTTTCCCTTTAAGCAGCCGCTTTTTCCCCCCCATTTTCCGCTGCTTCCAGGTCTGTTGTGCTGCACAAAGACGAGGCGTCACCACGGGCAGATCGGGGACTGCTGTTGGGCTCCTTTTCGCTTGGCACGGGGGGGAAAAGCAGAGCAGTAAGCCTGATAAGAACCGAGCGGCCCGTTTGTTCTCCGAGGAGGAGGAGGACGAGTCCGACCTCCCGGGGTCAACGCTTCTCTTTTCTGCTTCCTCTCACCGCCCTCACAGCCGACAGAAGCTCAGAGTGAGAAGAGAAGGCCTCTGTTTCATTCCCCCCCCTGCACCTCCCCTTCCTTCCTTCCTTCCTTCCTTCCTGTTCTCTCAGATCACAAACAGATCCACCTGGACCCCCCCAGAGACACAATTACCTGTCTTTCTCATCCCACCTCACCCTCTGCTCTTCCTCCTCCACCTTCAGCCCTTCAAGTCAAGCTCACCAATCCCCTGCGACCTCCTGTGAGAACATGAAACGCCCGCATCTTCTGACCGGGGAGATGCATGACCCACCGCTCATGACCCCCCCCCCCCCCCTAAACAGAGCGGCATATAAGCACACGCCATTGAAATGGCGCCGGTTGGGTTTTCTGTGATTCACATGCAAATGCCTCCAGAATCCCCCCCGCTTGCGCTGTAGGAGCGAAACTTTAGTTGGGGGGGAGCCAGCCCCCCCCCCCCCCCCCCGCCCCCCTCGTCTCCCGAAAGGAGTCATTATCCAGAGTCCCGGCGAGGTTGCTGTGGGAACACGAAGCGCTGGGGTCACCTGGACGGCAGAAGCTCCCGCCACTGAATCAAAGCAAAGATTAACCGAAGGGTAAAGACCAGGAGGAGGGCGCCGGACTCTTTTTGAGAAAGTTTTCCCCAAAAATAAATACATTTCCACACCGAGCAGCTTTTCTTTGGCTTTTCAGTCGTGCTTTTTGATGTTATTTTTTTCTCAAACCAAATTACCGACAAGGACAAAGAGGACTTAACAACCCCCCCGGTGTGTAAAGGTCTAAATACATGAATAATTTGAACAATTTGTACATCTGCCTTAAGCAAAACGGAATAATTTAGTCATGGCTGCGAAGTAAAACACGAAAAAAATGCTAATAAGAAAATAACAGGGATCCAGGTTGCAACATATTGTGTAAAGAACGGAGGCTGTGCAGCACACGTATGTACACATGGTAAACAAACACCAACGGAACTGATACACACGTCAGTTGTGTACGTGCACAAATAAAAGGACTAGTGGGTAAACTCCAGACACAAGTGTGAACAAACACCTGCAGCAAAGAGCAGCGCCGCTGCAGAGGGCCTTAAAGTAGATTAATCACAACTGTTGAAGGATGCTGCTGGATTAAAGTATTTAATTACATAGAAAAAGGCCGACCCGGACGATCAAACTCAATGCTGCAGGGGTTGTTTGTGTCGCTGAGGCACTCTGGGATATTCAAAGCGGCACGAATGAGTTAATATTAACTTGCCCGGTCCTAATAAATATATTGAAATTGAATTTGGGTGCAGGGGCCGTTTCAGGCTTCCCTCCACAAAAGGACACACACACACACTAAAAGAGGGCGGTGTGGGTTTGGTCGTATACAGCTGTGTTGGTTCTGCCTCCTCTGGCTCCGGTCCAAACACATCTCAGCCGTTCCCATAAGCCGCGTATTATCAGAGGACGGACGGGGAATAACAGCACGGAGCCACCGAGCGGCCGGCCGTCAACTTCCCGGGCTTCCGGTTTCGTTGCCGGCCTGAGGCGTAGGCTACTAAAAGACCCCCCCCTTACTTGTACGGCTCCCCACGAGAAGCAGACCCACTCTGTGGACTCTGTCTGTGTGTGTGTGTGTGTGTGGGGGGGGGGTCGAGCCCTCGGCCACCATGATCAATGCTCGCTGTGGTTAAGAGGCAGATGAATGGCTTCCACACGCTGCACCAAATTCACTTTGAGTAACAGAAACTCACAGTGGAATTGAGAAATCGAACACCAACAACGGGTGTAACACTTGAACGGAAGCTGGCCTCAAGAGCGCGAGACCTTATCTGGCCGTTTAACATTTAACCCGTTCACCCCTCAGCCAACGGTTTGTGTTCCACAATGAGCGCTTTTCATTCGGCTAATTATTCGTGCCTCCTTCGCTCGTCCTGCAGCGGGACCCGCGAATCAATCGAGGCCCACAACCATCGCGAGGCAACGGATCATCTCCCAGCAGAGGAGGAGGAGCGAGGAGACAATCAAAGACAATCCGTCTAGTTGTTGGTGCGACCTGGCAGTAGAGCAAAAAAGGAGCCGCCGGCGATTGGACCCGTAACCACTACTGGAACGGCAGTCCGCACTTAATTATTTCCTCAGGTTTGAGGTCAGTGGAGATGCTGTGCGTCATGATTAATTGCAGCTCCCTCATACGTGATGCCAGGACGCCTCGCTTAGAAAATACATCCCTGTTGGGCGTCATTAAGACCCGAAGGGAGCGATGCGAATGAGAGACCTGGGACGAGGCCACGTTTGCAAAGCGCCACTGCTTTAAGTGTCATTCTGACAAAGAATGCTTGATTGAACTCTAGCGGTATCCAGCCGCACGGATAGTTTGAGACATCCGTGAGGTCGCGAGGTCAACTACAATTTAGATATTTCTCCTCCTCAAATACTGAACGAAATTGCATTTGAAGAATTCCTCAGATACCTCCCGGGACCCCCGTGTGTCCCTTTCACTCTGGATGAGCCACACCAATCGTCTGGTTCAACAGCAGATTTATTTGAATGTAGTTCATTTGTATGTGAATGAGGCCGCAGCTCATTCTGATGGTTCAAGCGCCGCGTCGTCTCCAAGCGAAGCCGACAACAAAGGGGAAGGAAATATCCGCTACAGATGTCTCTAACAAGACTTATGTGGGAAAAGGCTGAATAAGGGTATTGATTTTTATCTACTTCAGTGAAGCCAAACCAGCCCAGAGGGAGCACTCAAACACAGAACACCAGCACAGATATTGGTCCTTCCTTTCCCCTCATTTGTCCTCTGATGCGGTTGCGGTTTGCCTATTAAGTTTCTCCAATAAGAAATTAAAAAAAATAGGAATGCTTGCAGCTCTCCAGCTGCGTAAAAGCTCCTGTGTTGTAGTAAAAGCCAAGAGACGCATGTTAGCGTTGCTTGATGTAAATCCGGCAGCCGGGAGTTCTCATTTCTGCAGAAATAATGACACATGGAGTCAGAGTCAAACCAGTTCCTCCGCCTTAAAACTACGATGACTCAGCGTGGAAGCAATTACATCACCATGTTCTATACTCACCAGACACCGTAGTGACGTAGAATCACCACAAAGTAAACCGATCTGTGATCACGTATTTCATCTTTAACCCACAGAACGGAATATTTCTCTGAGATTTTAAAGAGTTAGCACTTAAAAAAAAAAAAAAGTGTGCCTCCAATTCATCCAGTCGCACAATCACGTATACGGTGAGAGTCCTCCACCCTTTAAGTGTGGAGGCACCGGGATCAGGAGCCCATTGGGGTTCAGTCTCTGGCCCCCCGAGGGGCATTCAGACGTGAGGAGGAGAAGAGCTTCAATCACTCGCTCTTCCTCCTCCCAAATGTTTGGCAACCCACGACCGTGCCTCATCCGCCGTGAGGCTAACACCACGGAGGGACTTTAGTCACCGCGGGGCAGATGCTCGGGAGTCATCCTGGAACAATATAAACGTGGCCGCGCTCTTTGATACAATTCCTAAATGAAGATAAATGATAGGATTCGCTTTAATGTTGTTGAATTCTGCGAACGAAATTAAAAGGAAATTTGAATGTTCCCTCAGGATGAGATCAATTATAGTAGATATCAATTTGTAGCACCTGAGAGTGATGCTTTAACTGCGTTACATTACGTTTATAAAGCGCACTCTCCCACAGAGGCGTGCTTGGGGATAAATGACTGAGGACTTTCCTCCAGGAAAGTAAAATAAAATCAATTGATGAGGTAAAACAAAGCAAATGTTTCTGATTCATGGGGATCTTTTCACTAACACTTTTCAGAATCCAAATTGAGTCGTGAATCATACTTCCGTTTCTCGTTATTCTCTTCATTCATCTTTGTGTTAATCAATACTGCATTCAGCCCCTGGCACGCTCACTCGTCCCCTGCAGCCGGCAAGAAGGACGAGAAGTTAAAGGGCAGCAGCATCAATTAAAACACAATCCCTTAATGAAACCGTCTCCAGTCGCTTCTCCAAAAGGAGCATCTGGAAAGCCACCGCTAAATGCAACACACCCGCCGGCCGCCGGTGTCATTAACACCGAGCGGCAAACGAGATAAGAAACCTGGAGCCGATCCTCAATGTGCACGAGATGCCTGCTCTGAATAATGCTCCAAAATGTGACCAACGCAACGGGAATCTGCGCCGCGTGTTTCGCTCTGCGCGCTCCCCGCGGCGCTGAACCCAGGCGGCGCTCTCCAGGGTCCTGACTGCGCACCGCACGCGCGGGCTTTTATCAGAGAGTCGCCTTAACATCACCGAGGAGACAACCAGGATAACAAGATAAAAAAAAACACACACACACACCGCGAGTGTTTCCTCGCCGAGATCCACTCACCTGCGTCCGGAGGACGGCGCCGCCCGGACCGCCGTCCGCCGCGTCGGGCGAGTTCTCGAACACCCGGTCCCGGTAGAGGGACCAGAGCCCGACGTTGGGCAGGAACAGGAGCGCCGCCACGAGCAGCCCGGCGACCTGCAGCAGCCGCTTCTCCTTCCGCCTCATCTCCTCTGTGCGGCCGGAAGAAAACTGGAGTCCCGAGCGGAGGCAACTTTCGCTCTGGCCGTCTGAAGGGGAGGGGCTGCTTTAATAATACCAAACAACGTACGCAACGTCCGGTCATGACTTTCACAATAAAAATAACAAAAACAACTGGGGTCGCTTAGGATTTGCTGGAGTGGGGGGGGCAGCTTGTTATATTCCCCGTTTAAAAACAGGAAATGTGGGGTTTCATCAATTCCCACATTGCAAATACGATGTAGTAAAATATGAAGGTTTGAATTGATCGTACATACGTGTTAGAAAGCTCCAACTGGCTGAATACATGACGTCCCAGACAATATTTGCCACTTAATATTAGATTCAAAAAGGCATATGAAATGCAGATAGACATATAAACAGCTATGCTTTTGTCAAATGATAGCTTAAGTTATTTAAACAAATCACCATTCTTGCTATTATTAATTAAAGTTTGAACAAATAAATCTGTAAAAAAAAAGATTCACACCTGAAGAATTATTGACTAATTGTAGTCAATAATTCTTCAGGTCTTCACGTACAACTAATTGATAAGAGAATATACAACATGCTAGGCCGCTTCAGAGCCACACGCTGCTATTTAGCTATTAGATATTAGATATTTAGCTATTTGGACTCCAGTGCAGCATGAACTCAGACTGCATGAACGTGTGTCTGTAGATTTGAACGGAACACACAGCTTCTACACGTCTCCCACGCTGGATCCTGTTTGGAACTGACATCCAGGTCATCATATTGTTTTAAAGGTCCAGTTCGGCATATTTTAAAAGGTATGCTTTTGTTAACAATCACTAAAGTCTCAATATTCTATTTCCTACTACTTTGATTCAGGTTATTCTGCACACTTGTTGGCGCTTCTTATCCCCCCCGTCTCTTGCGAAGGACGGCGTCGATGCTTTTGTTTTGAAGGGTAAATCACTTAACTTCCTGTATTTTTCTGACTCTGCTATCAAACTTGATCGCGTTCAAACTGGCCAAAAAAAGACACGTATGGATAATCCAAAGGATCCGCCTTTGACAAACTACTCTGAATGTAGTGCCTGAGACTGAACAAAAAGGAGAGAAAGGAAAGATGGGAACAGACTTAAGGTGAACAACGTTAAACTGGACTTCCTGCTGTAAACCAGATCATCCAAACAGAACACACACCCTCCATCATACTGGGCTCAGTCGTCCAAAGAGTCCTTTCCTACTATTAGTGAAGATCATGCATTGCAAGTTACATTTTCCTTTTGCAATGCTGTGCAGAACCTTTCCAATGAATCGAGGAAACGAGCATCAAGAACAGGAAGAACTTGACATGAACGTTGTTTTAAGTGTATTTTAAAAGCTGTGTTACTTTTGTTTTCCGGAGCAAAATCGCCTGCGTATTCCAGGACCCTCGGACGTTGCTGCTGGCTCTGATTTTTATTGACTAAAACTTCTGACCATACCACACAGAGACCGAAAAGAAGCAAAGAAACTAGAAGCTTCCAACCAGAGAGGGCAGTAAAACACTGCTTCCCAACCAGGAGTCAAGGGTCTCCTTAGAGGGGAACTGAAACAGACCTAGTGACAGTTATTTTGTGTTATTTCATTGCCGAATCAGAACTTTTGCAACGTTAAATCCCATCGGAATTACGTGGGCAAGGAACAGAGAGGATGTCAACTCAGCCGTGAGAACGTTCCCTCAACAACGTCAATAAAGTGGGGGTTTGCTTCATGACTCATCACAGACAGCAACATTTACAAATGAGCTTTTCATTAAAAAAAAATGACACCAAAATCCATCGCGTTCAGAATCAACACGTTCAATTTGTGTGGATCCTCATTTCGAGGAAATCTGGGCAGTTTGCAACGAAAAGTAGGTTTGTGAGTCAGGCGATTGAGCTCAGTTTTAGACTAGTAGAGGTCTTTGTAGAGCTGTAGGTTTCCAAATGTCACAACGGGCAGGACTCAATCACAGCCTTTAACAAAATACTTCAAGTTTAATACAGAAATCAAAAGTGCTTAGTGGCAAAATGGACACAAGGACCAGGAGACACACATGGTTTAAATACTCTGGGGATCGGACACAGGTGGAAACAGGGACACGGCAGACAATCACAGGGGAGGACAAGGCAGGAAGTGAAGGGACACAAGAGGCAGGAAACTACAAAATAAAACAAACCCACACCGTGACACCAAATAAATGCTGTGGTTCTGTTTTTTGGATCAGTTTGAACACATTAATAAATGCATATTTTCCCACGTCTGTCTTCACGCACGGCGTTCTTTGTGATTATTTCATCGTTTCTGAGCAGATTTACGAGCTCAATTCATCCAAACAGAACGATGCTTAGGTAATGCTCATCCGGGGAAAGTCGTGGCGCGGCCTTTTCTCTGCTGCGCTTTCAGCACAGAGGAGTAAATCAGGGATTTGCCACCGCGGGATATTAATGCTGCCATTTCCTCCGCTTTGATTTACTGAGCATTACCTGGGTTTTTCTTGTTGTTTCCCCCCTTCCTGAACCTCTCTCAAGTCCACACTGAGCCGGTGACACGAGCAGGAAGAGTCACAAAGCGTAAATCCCCACCACATCCACGGGTTGCAGGGTTCATCCATAATTCATGCGGGACGACGCCGAACAGATTGAATTGTCACAACTCGGGCCGGTGCGGATGGAGAGAACAAGAAAGCCGCCCTCTATCTGTCTGGAATGGAAGGAGCTGGATTAGCAGGGGGGGGGAAGAGGCTCCGACACGTCGCGGGTTCGAGTCCCGCGCCGTCCAACAATGTGTCTGATCTCGGGTTTAACCGCCTCTCGCTCTCATCCCTGTACATGCGTGTGTGTCAAACGCGAGGGGTCGGGAGAGATTAGAGAGACGCTCGACTGGTTTAGAAATGGGGATTTGTTGTTTCGCGTGTGTCAGAGGTTGCCGGGATGAGGCGGACGCGGCGTGAAGCGGTATTGAATCGGGGAGGGCAGTTGGAGGTCAAGAGGAGGAGGTCAGCACTTCTGCTTTGCTATCAGTGACAGGCAGACGTGCAGCTAAGTGAGTGAATTTGCGTTAATTAAAAAGCAAAGTTTAAAAACGTCTCAACCTCAGACAGCAGCTCTTGTGCTGTCATCCCACGGAGAGAGATACAAACAGGCGAGTGTTTCCCCGCATTGATTCATCTGTCAAAGAGGTCGCGGTTCCCGTTTGTCTGTTTGACAGCAGGATTATGAAAAAACTAACGACCCAATTTGGTGCACTGGTGAGCTCAAGTGCTCCCTTGGATGCCCCCAGTGTATATAAAACTTGACAAAGTGCCCTTCGGAGTGCTGTCGCAGTTGAGGAAATAGAATGAAGTTGCCTTTCGGAAGCGACTGCGGTGAATAAGACCTGATGAGAGGTCCCCTGGGGTAACCCGCCGGGCACAGAAGACCCTCTGGATGCCCGTACACTTGGTAACGTGCCCTCTGAGCTGGAGAGAACAGCGCGAGGGGCCTTCTCTGTGTTCTTTCCAGAAGAGAAAACGTGACGAGGAAGATGACAAAGTGTCTTTTGTGTTCCTCTGAGGTACATAAAATGTGACAATGGGCCCTCCTGGATGCCCCTCCTGGATGCCCCTGTGATAGATAGAACCTTCTAAAAGGTCACCCTCGGTGGCCCTCGTGGTCGATAAAACACGGTCCGGTGCCCTCTATGGTGCCCTTGTGTAGGTGATGAAATGATGATGAAGTGCCTTTTTGCATTCCAGTGGAGAAAACACAACAAATTGCCCTCTTGAAGACCCCCAAGGCAACTAAAACATGAGGAAGTGCCCTGCAGGTTGCCCTTGAGGTGGATAATAAAAAAAAATGAATAAAGTACCTTCTTAAATATCCAAACAGTTTTTAAAGCATTGACTGCCCACATGCAAGACATCGTTCTAGTCACCCGGTGCCCTCGTGCACCCTCACATGCAGCTGCAGGCCTGTTTCATTATTTTTTATATAATTAAATGAATAATAACGGATTGGGGAGAAGACGCCTCTGACCACAGTTACTCCTCCAAGTGCATTCGGAGAAGTGGTCCAGTTGCATCTTCATTGTCTCAGGTTGCAGGTTGCATGAATCGGGGGGGGGGTTGTTAGATTTATAGTTTGGGGAAAATAAATTGCAAACTCAGCGGTCGATAAGAAATTAAACCAAGACGAGAGTTGTGCGCTCGAGGAGACATTTTATTTAGCTTCTTAAAAAGCTCCGCCGCCGTTCCTTTTATAACCTCTGCAATTGTCTCTAATTTTAGAAATGTGCCTCTGCTGCAGTCATTGTTTCTCTCGTGGCATCAATTATTCCACAAGTACACACATCCCGATTGATCACTGGCGTGTTTGCATGATCTCGTTGAGGGATTCACGCGTGTTTTACATCGGGGGGCTGATTACTGGAATGCCTGCGTGTGCACCTGGCGGCCTTTCATTCAGTTTGCCCTGAAGCACTGAAGGTATGTGACTGAAAGCCGGCGATTCAATCAGAGAATAAAGAAGCTCCTCGTTGCAAAAAGGTAGGAGCGCAAATATTCAGAACTGTTTACTGGCAGAGTTTCAGCAAAAACATAAAAGCCCAAAAATAGATTCAGGCAGTTTTTGCATGAAACACAGTTCTGTGTCATAGCCGAGTGTGCGAGCACCGTAACGCCTAATTAACAGAACACTGCCTTTAACCTGCGCCGCGTACGTGCTATTTCTGCTCCCGCTTAACGTGACAACGTGTTTTTCATTTCGATGAACTATGATTAACTCGGCATTACTGCTGGCACTATTTTCCTGGAGACGCAACAGATGAAGGTGGGCAATTATTTCTGCAGCTTTAGCCCGTCTCACCTTTCTATGAGTGAGACGTTTTCCCGCTGGCGGCTCTTCCTGCAGCGCCAAACGACTGTAACGTACACAATCTTTGGGGATTGATCATTCCCTGCAGCTGTGGATGTGTGTAAATCGTGCAGCGCGCACAGCTGTGTTTCAATGAATGGTGTGTTACTTTCTGTCGTAAGCACATTGGAGGCACAAGAAAAAGTGTGTGTGGG